GAGTGCCATGGCGTCATAGCTCACAGCAACCTCCAATGTCCTAGGTAGAGTGCCATGGTATCATGACTCACAGCAACCTCCAACTCTTGGGTTCAAGCGATCCTCTTGCCTCAGTTTTTTCTATTTTTAGTAGAGATAGGATCTTGCATTTTGCTCAGGCTGGTCTCAAACCCATGAACTCAAGCTATTCATCCACCTCAGCCTCCCAGAGGGCTAGGATTACAGGCGTGAGCCACCTCACCTGGCCTTAATGCAGATCATTAAATGTCACTTCCCACTTCTGTACATCCCTGCATACACACCCAGAAGTAAACTAGTACATACACTTTGAGAAGATATGTGTTAAAATGAATTTATGATAACACAAAATAAGACACCAAATCTTTTAAAAGGAATTTGAAAGCTGAACTTCAAGCTGTATAATATCATTACCTATTTTGAAAATTCAATCATTAAATGAGAGAATTTCAGAGAAAATTTTAAATCCCTTTAATGATGACAAGGAGAAAGACTCGGAGAGGTACGGTGACTCCTCAGGGCCACAGAGGTAGTTAGTAACAAAGTCAGAATAAGAACTCAAGGTTCCTGACTCTGTGTCATACTTGCTCATTTTCAGTAATAGTGATTTTTTTTCCAACTCTGGTGCTACATTTCCCATCTCAGAGCCTCTTCCACCAAAAAACATGAATTAAAATGGATTAGATGGGTTAAGGTGAAATTGTGTCATTTATATTGTTTTTGTCTATACTCTATTAAGCTACTAATGTTTATTTCTATTTAAATTAACATTCTAGCAGATAAAGATGGATAGGATCTCCAAAGAGACTTAAAAAACTGCTTAACAAAATCCAAATTTAATAAAATGCCCATTAAACATAAGGAAAAGGAGGGACATTTCTCCCTCTTTTATAATGCTGCTATTTGAAGAGAATATTTAACATTACTTCTATAATGAAATACCAGTATGATAAATTATTAGACTTAGTATGAAATAAAAGACTGAGGACATTTAAGGCTTTCAATATGAAATAATAAAAACAATATTATTTATTCTACCTTCTTTGATTAACAAGTGACTTAGTGTTACAATTTTTTAATTTTGTATTCAAAGGAGGCAACTACCCTTGTTACATATTTTTAGTTCAACTGTTTCTTCCACTGGTATTTATATTTACTTATTGTTTTATTGTACCCTTAACCTCGCTTGAAAGTGGCTAATAAGGAACTTATACTAAAAATAAAGACAATTTAGGCTCAGCGCCCATAGCACAGTGGTAACGGTGCCAGCCACATACACCGAGGTTGGTGGGTTCGAACCCAGCCTGGGCCAGCTGAAATGACAATTACAACTGCAGCAAAAAAACAGCCAGGCATTGTGGCCAGTGCCTGTAGTCCCAGCTACTTGGGAGGCTGAGGCAAGACAATCACTTAAGCCCAAGAGTTTGAGGTTGCTGTGAGCTGCAACACCACAACAGTCTACCGACGGTGACATAGTGAGACTCTGCCTCAAAATAAATAAATAAATAAAGGCAATTTATAAAAAGAAGCAACTCAGAAAGTTTTTAGGTTTATATAGAAAGTTAAACTCTAATGATTATTTCAAAACTAACAATAAAATATAATTAAAGCAGAAAAGGATCAAGAAAAGAATCACTCAAGTTTTCTACTGATACACTCCAAGTTAGGGGTTGGGGAGTTAAAAGTTAGGGATGTAATACTATAAATTATGTATCAGAGAAAACCAGAGCCAGCCAAAATGAAATACACAAATAATCTATAAAAAGGTGACTAAACAATAAGGAAATGATTTAAACCACTGGCATTTGAAAGAAAAACAAAAATTAACATGCCATTACTTACAGCAAGGGAAGACGTTTGTAGACAGGCATTTTTAATTCTCGGTATCAAAGCATTTTTCATGGACGGGTAGTCTATAAGATTTGCAAAGGTTGGAATGATGTTTAGACAGAGCTCCTATTAAGAAAATGAATCGGATCAATCTTAGGGAAAGACTCCCCATCCTTTCTCTCACATATTAAAAAAACTTTGCATTTATGCTGCTAAACTGTCACATGGTATTTGGTCCTTTCAACAACTCTTTGAAAAATGAACAGTTATAATCATTTTCCAGTTTTAGAGATGAGGAGAAAGGTTCAGAAGTCCTGACTCAAAGTCATATGCAAGCCTAACAATTAGTTTACAGTGTCATAACTCCCTAGCCTCATTCCTAATTTCTTTCCCTTTTTTAAATAGGAACACGCAGGTTTTGCTATCTTTCACAATGTATGATGTTGTAAGCAGCTGGCAACGCCTTAACCCTATGCATGCTGCCAGGCCTGAGGGCCTCTGCCGTCCTGGTCAAGGGGAGTGCTAACCTTCTCTCCTTTCATACAACTCCACAATGTATGAAGTTATGTACAAAATTCCTCTTAAGGTATTTCTTAGCTCTTACATATATCTATGAAATGGTATATAATAGAAGAACTTTTTAAAAAAAGATTTAAAAAATTATTTAATACAACTGAAGAGAAAATACAATAGGACAGTATTATATAATCCCAATTTTTATATGTTCTTTAGTCTTCTTCCCTAAGCCTGAGATAGACATTTGTGTATGTATATATACATGCATCTGGCTCCAGGCTTAGGGGAAAAAAAGACAAGGACCTATCCAGATGTTAACTGTGACCATCTCTGAGAGAGGATTTTCATTTTCTTTATACTATATTTTTAAGTACTTCCAATTCTGAAACTTAAAACAAGCATAACTCATAAAAACAGGAGAAAGGTTTTTAAAACATTCTTATTCACGAATATGTTGAACTATAAATGATATTAGCTGAGAACTCTGAATGGGGTAATGGAGGGAAAGGGCAGGATGATTGGGGGTTGGGAATTAAATGAGAAAAGGAAAATCAGAAGAAATTTCTGATTTGCTTTAAGAATCAAAATCATCATTAAAGAAAAATACACAGTTGTACCTGGATCTGAATAGAAGGAGCTTCTAGTGCTCTGTAAACCATCGGTAGGACACTGTTCTTTATCTCATCAGGAGGGGTTTTGGTTAGTAGCAAATCCATTTTTTGTAGGAAAATTAACAAAATCTGTTTTTTAAAAAAGGAAACGATGTATTAAAATCGAGAATCTTTAAGATATCCTATGTATGCCAAAATTTAAAGTTTCTTCAGAAGAATAAATGATGTATTTTGACACTCACCATGTTGCTAGCCTGAAGGCATGGAAGACAAAAACATACAAATCAAGTCTCCCATATTTCTAGAGGCACGATATTTAACATCTGCTTTCAATTTAAACATTTAAGTACTCATTTCCTAACCCTCACTTATCTGCAGTAATACATCATTCTCCCTCAAATACCAACTTTCTGGAAAGCAATAAATAAATAAATAAAAGACTGAGGGCATCAAAATAAAAATGTCCCAAAGAAGTAAATGCCATCACTTGGCTTCTATGAAGTTCGGGAAAATAAGAGAAAGTACAGAAATGAGAAGGAAAAATTCTAGAAAGAAATATTCATAATCATCCTGGTCATTCTTTTTGAACCTATCTGCCTCTAAATACTTAAAATTGTAAGGAACACACTGCTCCTTTTTGCACAATAATTAGCTTTGCCAAGGCCTATAGTCCCAGCTACTGGAGAGGCTGAGGTTGGGAGGATCACTTAAGCTCCCAGGTAAGCTCTCACTTGTAAAAATTCAAGTCCACCCTGGGCAATACAGCAGGACCTTTTCTTTTAAAAAAGAAAAGAAGGAGGCCGGTGCCTGTGGCTCAGTGAGTAGGGCGCTGGCCCCATATACCCAGGGTGGTGGGCTTGAACCCACCGTGGCCAAACTGCAACAAAAAATAGCTGAGCGATGTGGTGGGTGCCTGTAGTCCCAGCTACTCGGGAGGCTGAGGCAAGAGAATCACCTAAGCTCAGGAGTTGGAAGTTGCTGTGAGCTGTGATGCTGCAGCACTCTACTGAGGGCCACAAAGTAAGACTCTGTCTCTAAAAAAGAAAAAGAAAAAAAGAAGGAGGAAAAAGAGGAGAGGAGGGCTGGGGAGGGAGGGGAAGAGAAAGAGGAGATAAGATAAAAATTTTAGAAGAAATTTTTAATGGGATAAACTAAGTAAAAAGAAGATCAAAGAATGGAGACAAATAAAAATTCAGATTATAGGTTTCTTAGGATACCATCTTGACTGATGTATGCATCACTCAGGGAACATGTGGCTCCATCAACTTTCCCTCCTTACACCTTGAACTTTTGGGAGGAACTCTGCTTGAAAGCCTACATTTGTCTCACTTGCTCCTTCCCAAGTACATAGATACTCTTGCCTTACTGCCAGAGACTTCCTTTTGCTCTCATTTCTTCAAGGGAAGAACTACAAAAAGTCACAAAACCATTAAATTAGATAATTAATGGTTTAATAATATGGTATTGCCCTACAGTGGCAGAAACATGTAATAATATTTATTGTATGCCAGAAAATTTCATTTACTCTCAACAACCCCTTTCATTTTAGAAAGAAAAAGTAAAGGTTATGATCGTAAAGACTTCTCCAAATTATAGTCCTAGTGAGGAGATAAGTCCAGCTGCAAACAGGTATGTGACCTCACTAGTCTTAAATCTTAGACTATCTTCAATCTGGCAAATAAATATTATAATAGAATCTACATCACAGACTGATGCCTTTTATCATTTATAATATATGTACACATTATTTCCATAGGGCTGTAAGCATTTTCCTCTTCAAGTCACAGTATTTATTAGCAATAAAATAAAGAGAAACAACTGGTACCAATCATCTACAAATTAAAGACCCAACAACAAAACAAAAACACGTAAGAGTGTAGTAGAAAAATAAGTCTTTCCCAAACCTGTAACTTTCAACAAATTCAGTGTGAACAGTATAACACATGCCAATGTCACTGCAACTTATTTCCCAAGACAGTAACTCATGGAAAGCCATAGGCATTCACCTGCAAAGCTTTTTTTTTTTTTTAATTTAAGAGGCAGAGTCTCAAAATGTTGTTCTGATGACTAGTCTTAAACTCCCAGCCACAAGCAATCCTCCTGCCTCTGCTGGGATTTTAAGTGTGAGCCACCTTGTTGGACTGTAAAGCTCAATTAGAATTTAAGAAAGGTTCACTTCAAACACATGCAAAATAGACCTCTGACTCATGGAAAAGAAAGTCTCACATACTTACCATAAGTTTTGCAAAGTCATATATTCATTCTTTCTGTTTTCAGCGATAAGTAGCATCATGAGTAACAGTACATACAGATCCAAAAATACCTTACGACATACCTGGATTGGCTCCTGCTGTTTAAATACAGGGCCAAGTTCAGGTAGGATTAATTTGACATACTCTTCTTTGGTGCATTCCTCAGCAATCAGTAGAACATTGGGCAAAACAAAAGGTACCATGTCAGGGTTTACAAATTCTGAAGTCAAACAAGGCAAAATCCTTTGCACGATGACACGCTGAAAGGCAAAAATGTTTTTATAAAACTAAAATTTGTTTCTTTAGTATTAAGTCTTTAAAAATCCAAACCCTTTAGGTAAAGGAATCATATAATTTATGGTTGAAATTGGTTCACTTTTGAGAATAAAATAGGATGCTACTGCCAATGATGCCAGGAAAAACAGCATAAATTAGGAAGGTCACAGTAAAGGGGACACACAGTCATCCCGCTGGTGAGGAACCCTTCCCTAACTAGCCTTCAGTGGTGTGGTTGTTTTTCATTTTAACTTCGTCATTACTTAGGCTTCATCCCACAAAACTTCAACACTATCCCGCACTGTCAGTTGTTGTTTCACACATGTTGACTCCACCTACACTGACTCTCAGGGCTTCGAGAGCAGGGGCAATATTTCAGGCTTCCTCTTTTACTCTTCAAAGAACCTAAGTGAAGGGCTAGAAAAATAGCAGGTAACCAATGATTACCTCAAAGAATTTAACATTAAGACTCCCAAAAGTCACAGATAAAGAAAAGGTCCTAAGGGAAGGCAAGAAAAAAAACCTGCATACAACAAATACTACGGAAAGGAGCTCCAATAGGTCGGGCAACAAAGTTTTCGGTGAAAACTTCATAATCCAGGAAGAGAGGGGGATCACATACTCAAAGTGCTGAAGGAAAAAACCTTAACCCTAGAATATTATATTCTGCAAGAATACCCTTCAAACATGAAGGAGAAATAAAGACTTTCCCGGACAAACAAAAGGGAAGAGATTTCATCAATACCAGACCTGTCCCCTAAGAAATGCTAAAAGGAGTTCTTCAATCTAAAGGAATATTCACAACAATAAATCATGTAAAGGTACAGAAGTCACTGGTAACAGTAAGATACAAACACAGAACACTCTATGGCTGGGACCGTTCACATCTTGAATAGGAAGACTAAAAGACAAACATCAAAAATAACTATAACTTACTGAGAGACAGATAATATCTATTCTGTTGGGAACAACAAAAAGTTAAAAGATGAGGGGAGAAGGTGGAGTTCAAGGGCAGAATTTCTGTTAGACTTCTCTGTACTTGTTTGTTTGTAAGCAAATCATCAAATGTTTACACATGATCTTAGCCAAAAGGCCAACAAGGGAAGTCCTATGTTTAAAATAATTAGTTATAAAATATTTTTAAGCCTCATATAATCTCAAATCAAAAGACCTACAATAGATACAAAAGAAAAAAAGCAAAGAGTAAAACAGATTACTAGAGAAATTCACTTTCAACAGAAGAAGACAAGAAGGAGGTAAGAAAGAAAGAAAGAGAAGACCATAAAACCACCGGAAATCAACCAACAACATGGCAGTAGTAAGTCCTAACTCATTGGTAACAACACTGAATATGAATGGACTAACTCTCCAATCAAAAACCAGAGCAGATGAATGTCTAAAATACAAAAGCCAACCATATTGTCTGTGAGAAACCCACTTCACCTATAAAGACACAGATAAACTGAAAATAAAGAGACAGAAAAAGATATTCCATGCAAATGGAAATCATACAAGAGGAGTAGCTATACTTCTATCACATAAAATAGATTTCAAGACAAAAACTGCACAAAGAGACCCAGTAGGTTATTACATCATAATAAAGGGATCAATTAAGCAAGAGGATAGAACTATTCTAAATATATACGCACCCAACACTGGACCATCCAGATATATAAAGCAAATTTTATGGCAAAATTTATCCCTCTCTTTATAGCTAGAGACAGACCCCCGCCCAATACCATAATCATTGTAGACTTCTACACTCCACTTTCAGAACAGTAGAGATTATCCAGACAGAAATCAACAAAGAAACAGTGGATTTAATCTGCACTATAGACCTAATGAATCTAATAGATATTTACAGAATGTTTCATCCAACACCTACAAAACACATCTTCTCCTCAGCTCACGGATCAATATCAGGCCACAAAACAAGTCTTTAAAAAAATTCAAAAAATGTAAATCACACCAAATATTTTCTCTAATCACAATGGAATAAAACTAGAAACCAACAACAAGAGGAACACTGGAAAATACACAAACGCCTGGAAATCAAACAATAAGAGGTCAGACAATTAAGTTCCCAAACTCATCCTAGAAAAAGTGCTATAGTCCTCACCGCTGAGTACCACTACAGCCACCTTCGAAGTACTCCCCCTGGGAAGCTGTGCACTGACACCAGAGCTAGGGCACCTTTCAAAGCACTCTTTGTATCCAAGGAGGGTAATTCGGTATATCAAAAGGTTTCTGAACAATCATGTTTTTGCAGCACTATTCACAACAGCCAAGATATGGAATCAACCTCAATGTCCATCAACAGATGGACACAGAGTATAGAAATAGTGATCCAGATATACAGTGGGATATTACATAGTCACAAAAGAAGAATGAAATCCCGGCATTTGCAACAACATGGATGGAACTGGAGAACATTATGTTAAGTGAAATAAGCCAAGCAGAGAAAGACAAATCCCACATGTTCCTCGCTCTTACGTGGGAGCTAAAAATTAAAAACAACTGATCTCATGGAGACAGAGAACAGAATGACGGTTACCAGAGGTTGGGAAGGGGAGGATAAATTGGGCACAAAAACATAGATAGTTAAATAGAATGCATAATGTGTGACAGCACAACAAAGTAACTGTAATCAACAATAAGCTAGGTTATACTTTAACCAAATGAGTAGAACTGGAATGTTCCTAACACAAAGAAATGACAATTGCCTGACGTGATGCATGCCCTAATTACCCAAAATATGATTTAATTAATTCATTAACTCTATGCCTATATCAAAATATCACACGTGTGCCCTATAAAGATGTACAACTATTTTGTGTCCATGGTAATAATTATAGAAAAAAGAAACTGATCAACAACAAACCTTGGGCAGTTTTGGTAGAACCTTTGGCAGTCCTTTGAAAAACTGTGATTTCTGAAGGTTATCTCTTTGGAATAAGGTATCAAAATATTGTAGGGTTACTGCACCAACATCATCAAAGAAGGGAATCTAAAAACATAGAAATAACGTATTTTGATAAATAGTAAGATACAAGTATTTCTCATATCAGAAACTGCCCCAATACAGTGGAAAAAAATTCAGAAGCATTTAGGAAAATGCTGAAGACCACGTTAGTAGACATTCTAATCATAAATCTCCCAGTAAAAAATAATCAATTACTTTTCTTTTTAATTTTAATCTTTAGAATCAGTACCTGTGAGTTGGCTGGGTAGTAACTTTTTCTACAGATGTCTAAAATATAGAAAGATTAAATAAAATATCTTGAAGGTACAAAGAATACCAATTATTTGTTAAAATTCATGCTTGTCTAAGTGAAATAGAGAGGTATGAATTCTCCGGCAGCCCGGGACGTCTACACACTTCATGATAGATGTTAGGACTCTGTTTATCTGAAATCTCAATTTTCTATCAGAGCAATTTGTGCATAAATTATTTAGCTATTTAAAACAAGTTCAATATTTAGTGCATTCAAAAATATAGATGCTGTCTGGGAACTTTATCTGACTAAATCTTGCTTCAGAAGAACTTAATCCACTTTATGTTTTGTCCCTCCAATTAAGGAAGAAACTCACATGTGCCACTCACCTTTGTCATCTGATCTGCATCTGGTCTGACTGTGGGAGTCACATTTAACAGTAGTTTTACATGTTCGCGGACTTCCTCGGGTATATTTGTAAGTGAACTAGATCCTAAACGACTCAACTGTTTGAGAGAGTGAAAACATTATATATATAAATAAGTATAAAACATTAATTATAATAAGTATAAAACATTAAATATATAAATAAGTATAAAATATTCCAAAAGTGTACTATTAGTCTATTCTTCCCACCTTGGTCTCCCAAAGTGCTAAGATTATAGATGTGAGCTATTGTGCCCAGCCATATTTTTAAAACTTTTTAAAATGTACTCAATAGTACATTTTAAAAAGTACTTGTGGATTAAATAAATCGCTAATTCTACTACTGTGAGATAGTTAAAACATTCACTTATCTTTAATATGTGAAATAGTTTCTATTCCTAAAATAAAATGCTCAGTATTTATTAATTAAAGGCCATAATAAATTGTGGTTCCAAACTTCAGTCCATGTTATAGAATTACTTTTATTAAACTGATTTCATATAAACTTAAATGAGACACATCTCATTTACAGAACTTGCTGAACCATTTTAGAAAAAAATAAAAGAAACATTTAACTAATTTTTAATGCAAGCAAATATTTATAGGCACATACCTGATCCAACTGCCTACTGAAACTTTTGTAAATATCTTGTTTGTTCACTTCAAATACAGGCTTCCCTTTATTAAATACAGCATACATAACAGTTCCTAAAGAATACATATCACTGGCTGTTTCACAGCTTACAGAAAGTATGTACTCAGGAGCCAAATATTCAGGATTTGGAAGACACAATGACGGTAAATTTGGGTCCCATTCTTTACAAGGGAACTTAGGCTGTAATAAGACAGAAAAGGGAAAACACAGACTAAATATTTCCAGTTAAAGCAAACCACTATCAAGCAATAGCAATCAATCTTTAAATCTGTACTCATACAAGTAAAAATCCCATCACCTTTAATCCTAACATTCCCAAATCCTGCAAATCTGAAAAGTGCAAGCAACAAATTGAGAGATAAGAATAACTTTGAGATTGTCAGAATCTCTTCCAGAAAACAAATTATTACTGTAAAAGGCAGTATGAACATGACCAAGTCTGCCTCATGTTTTATGATATGCTGGCTTCAAGTTTTATGGGCTCAGATAGACTATTGTTTGAAGCCCTCTTCTTTAGCTATATGATTTAGTTTAAAGGTTCCAAAGATTGCAGTAAGGATTAAACAAATGTGAAGAAGTTGGACCTAGTACAGGGCCTGACACACAGTATATACTCAACTACCACTAATTCTTTCTAATTACCTTAAAAATAGTTGTCTAAATTACAAAGCTCTCTTATATCAAATCATGGTCCCTTTTTTTTTTTTTTTTTTTTTTGGAGACAAGAGTCCCACTCTGTTGCCCAAGCTAGACTGCTATGGCATCATAGCTCACAGCAACCTCAAACTCTTGGGCTTCAGCAATTCTGCCTAAGCCTTCTGAGTAGCTGGGACTACAAGATTATGTCACTATGTCCAGCTAGTTTTTCTATTTTTAGTAGAGACAGGGTCTTGCTCTTGCTCAGGTTGGCCTCTAACTCCTGAGCTCAAGCAATCCACCTACCTCAGTCTCCCAGAGTGCTAGGATTACAAGCATGAGTCACTGTGGGCCTTAACAACTATATGTAAGTAAGCCTAAAATATAAGGCTCCATATCACAAAGGATTTTCTATGTCATAAGGACCCAATCAACACAAAACATAATTGATCTAATGCAGTGTTTTGCTAAGTATGAATAGGCAGGTATCTTAATCACTAAGAAACAGGTACTCTGAAAGCACGAAGACTGAGTTAAAGGCCTGGCTCTACCACTTACCAACTGTCTAAACTTAGGCAGGTTGTTTGTTCTATGGGCCTACCTTACTGGTTACCTCTCTGAGTTATTGTGAGGATTTAAGAAGTACATAAAAGTGTTTGGAAAAGTACTTCAATAAATACTAGCTAGTGCTATCACCGTGCCTGTTACTATTACGCCCCCTAAAGAAGATTCCATGGTTCAATAAAATAGAAACACACTGCTGGAGACTCACAATGTATATTAGCATATTTGACATTCTGAAGGAAAAAAATACCTATTAAACCCAATAGGTGGCAAATTTGTTTAACTTCAGCATCCTTTTCTCAAGTACTACTCTGGTATTAGTGAGGTGATGAATACTCTTAGGTACAATCAAACTAGATAAAGCTGTACATCTCAACATACCATTGTACCACAAAGCCTCTTTCTACACATTGGTCAGGCTTATAAATTCTCTAGTCCATTCCACACACAATCACGAATTCCCCTGACTAAAAAATTAGAAGACTAAGCCTTTCATTACCTCTTGTTCAGAAGGATTGGTTGATGGTACACAAAAATCAAAACCCATTATTTTCCAGGCCCCACTCTTATTCAGAATTATATTTTCTGGAGTAATATTTCCATGAACCATTTTCACACTACTGTGCAAAAATGACAATCCTTCAGAAACCTATGAAGGGAAAAAGCACAGAGCATTGTACATTAAATAAAGCCTTTCAACAGTGATAAAATGTTTCATAAAAATCAAAATAATTATTGCTGCTTCTCCCAATAAAGGAGTCTTGTATGTCAGCCAACAATCAAACATCATCATAAATGTAAAGTTCCTCTACTTTTCTTACCAATGTTATCAGTTTCCTATATTTAAAATATAATTTAAGCCTAAAAATGAATTGCAGAAAAAAAATTCTAGAAAACAGATTTTTAAATTACTAACAAGAACCGAAGGTTTACATAAAGAAAATAAACCTGAAATAGCCAAAAGCAATTTTAAAGGAAAAAATTCTTTTTTCACATGTTAAATAAAAATACATACCTGAAGTAAACCATATTTGGTTTCTACATCATACAGTTTATAATCCTTAATGTCTGGAGATACGGGGGAAGGCAGGTTTTCCCAGTTACCAAGAACGTTGGCTAAACTGGCAAAGACTGGTTCCGTACAAAATGCCAAGCAATCTCTGTTTTAGAAAAGAAAAAGTCATTTATTACCAATGTTTTACACACTATCAAAATCAAACATACGTTAAAGTAGCAGTGGTCCTATTAACTACCAACAACGAGGAAGATATTTTACATTTGTTAATTTTAGCTTTAATTTAGCACCTTTCGAAAGGTGCCAGAGTTTTTAATATTCTGGTGTATGTTAGATGTTGACGTATAGTCTTTCAAAGTAATGATCAAGAGCTCAGGCTTTGAAGACAGATACCCAACTTCAGTCCCAGCATCCCTACTGCCTGCCTTGGTCGACCCCAGACACTACTGCTCTGAGCCTCACTTTGCCTGTTTGTAAAATGCTGATCCACTCTGAAGGATTATTGTGAAGATCAAATTAGATAATCATGCAAAATGTAATATACAGCAAACCATCTAGCATGGAAGCTCCCAATGTTTACTCCTGCTACTATAATCACCAAGCACTGAGGCTCAGTAAAAAATAGGAAAGCCCTAACATTTTAGATCTTGGGCTCTAGGCTCTGTCAATGAAGAGCTACCAGGTAGTGTAGTAACAAAGCTTCTGTGCCTAGACAGTCGTCGTTTAACAAGTATGCCCTTTGCGTTTCCCTGACCACAGTACCAAACTTTTCTTCTGTCTCAAACCCATGTTTCCAATGAAAATTCAGTCTATTCAAGAAATAAGGGCAGAGCTGCTCAGGTTGAAGGGGAGAAAGAGCCACCCGTTCTGCCCGCCTGCTCCACAGTCCTTAACCTTGACCCCCAGCACTCAGCTCATTAACACAGTAGACGCTTGACAGTCTTCGCTGAACAGTACTGGAGGAAAACTGCTCAAAGACTCAGAAATCTTTTCTATAGTTTTCTATGATTCCCAACTCTCATATATTTTGACACTCCTTTTTTAAAATAACTTTATTCAAATTAATATGAGGGTACAATATTTAGGTTACATTGTTCTCACTTCCAGGGTTATTTTGACAACTCTTATTTTTTTCCTGTCTTAACCCCCAAATCATCCTTGGTCACATCAACATACATGAGTATGCTTCAAGCTCTAAGGCCTTACGATCTTTCATAAATATTTATTACGTATGAAACAGTTAGATACCACAAGGCCTGTACTCGCTCAAGGACCACCTCCCCCAACCCAAGCTTCTGCCCACTCATCTACTCCTACCCATTTACCAACTCCAACTTAGCTTCCCAGTATCTTTATTTAACAAATTCAGATCCAATTATAATTGATTCCTTTCTTTCCCCCATCTACTTCAACTATCCTTTACTAAGCAAATCCTTAATCCTGTAATAAAAATCACAGGCTTCACAAACTCTCTTGCTTATATCCCAAGCTGACAGAAATCCCAAATTCTTTATAAACTCACAGTAGAAAGTCATAAGTACACTTTAGCCTTGCCCTATTTTTCAATATTCAAGAATTTTAATTCACAACTCTGTTTAACGCCTTCATGATCCCTTTTATACACTGCCTACCCTATTAGGCTACTTCTACTTCAAAAAAAAAATGTATAGTTCATCTAGCATGAATGAACTCTTTTGCCCTAAACTTCTCCGGAATATATTACCAATTCCTCCACTCCTTGGAGATTCTCCGAGGGGGCTTCACTACATGGTATCTTCTCTGCTGGCCTTTGTATGTATTTTCTACTTTCCAAACTGCCATCCTATAGGAATCACTGAACCTCTCCTTAGCCAAATGTAATGGATTCTTTCTGTCCTTACTTTCTTTTTATCTTGTGGGTCCTTTTTTCCCTCCTTTGGCTTCCAGGACATGCTGCCAATTCTCCTGCCATACGCCATTACTCCTCCTGTTTCCTTCCCTGTTTCCCTGGCTCTTCTTTTCCCTACATTTCCAGGTTCTTTCCTCAGTGGTCTGTTCTTTACTCTATTTTTTTACCCTGTATCTTTTACTCCTCATTTTTTTCATGATTTTAAGTACTGCCTGTCCACTACTCACCCCCATTTACATCATCAACTCTAGATTCTCACCTGGATTACTCTTTCTGTAGTGTATTTCCTTTGGGTAATTCTGTCGTCCCAATATGTACTATTATTAATTTATTAAAAACTGGAAGTTAGCTTTTCCTTCTCTAAAGTGTCCCTATTTCTATTGATACTACTGTAATTTTATAGTCTAACAATTTAGAGATCTTAAAGTAATCTTTGAACTGTCTCTCTTTACAACTGCCAATAAATTCCTGGTTCTATAACATTTAAAGCATATAAAAGAAGGTAAAGGGACAGAGAAAAGCATAACACGAGGTCCTTCTCCCCTCAAGAGACTTAAAATGTAATTATGAGAGACAAGACATGTAGATACTACTCAATGCGGATGGCCAGAATTCTAATAGGTGACACGGGCAGACACAGAAAACGTTCCAGTGAAAATAGTACCAGCAAATATGGAGTCAAGAAAACACAGGACAAGTGTGTGCGGGAAAACAAAACAAAACCTTAGTCCACTGCGGGATGCAGGATTCACAATCATGAGTATTACCTAACAAGACAGCAACAAGAATCTTCTGGGTTTATTTATGAAAAGAAAGGCAACCAAAAATATTTTTATGATAACAAACATATGAGCAAGGGTGGCATCCGTAGCTCAGTGGGCAGGGCACTGGCCACATAAACCGAGACTAGGGGGTATAGAACCTGGGCTGGGCCTGTTAAACACCTATGACAAATGCAACCAAAAAAATAGCCTGGCATTGTGGTAGGGGCCGATAGTCCCAGCTACTTGGGAGGCTGAGGCAAGAGAATCACTTAAGCCCAAGAGTTTGAGGTTGCTGTGAGCTGTGACGCCATAGCACTCTATGGAAGGCGACAGAGTAAGACTCTTGTCTCAAAAAAAAAAAAAAAAAAGAAAGAAAGAAACATATGTGTAATCCAGGTACAGTGGTATGAAAGACCTAGGCGAGATTACTCAAGCTGAGGGGTTTATGACCCACATGGGCAACATCCCAAAAATATACACTGATTAAGTTTTTTGTAAAGAGATATGAGCATATTGTGAGGTATAGCAAGGTACAATAAAAAATTAAAAATAAAATGGGCTCAGGAGTCAGGGTGACAGAATGAATCCTACCCAGCTTTGCCACCTAAAACCATACAGTTTAAGTAATGTCTGTGATCTGCTGTTCTCTTGTAAAATTGTGAGAATTAGATGAGAGAAACAATATAAAACATTAAACCTAGTTTTTCACATAGTAAATTGTTTGTATTTTTGATTTTTAGGTTAAAAAAAGGATCTTATGCCTTTGGGGGCTTTGGGTGTGGAGAGTAGTTTACTAAAGATTCAAAAGTAAGAATTTCACAGAAACCAATATATACAACAGATAAAAGCAAAACTGCCCTGGTCAAGTCTAGAACCCTCCCAGCTCTGTGTCCTCACGACTGTTCTTGAAAGTCCCACGTGCAGAGAACATAAATGGAAAACCATTTGATGAAGATTAAGAGAAGGGAATACAGTCTGCTGAGGAAGAAGGAAGAAAGGCATAAACTTGGGGTCCCCGGTAATGCGAGAGGTATATAAAGTTAGGGCGATCTAAAGAAATATTAATAACAGCACAGGCTTGAGAGTCCAGTTGAGATTACGTAAACTTCATTGTCTTGTCATTCTTGGCAACATTTCCCACATTCATTCTTGAGAAAAACAGATGGCAAAATAACTAAAGGCTATGGACTGACATACTGGGCACAGCAGAAGGTTAAATGTCTATGATAATACTGGGCACTCACACAAAACTACCCCCCAAATATTGGATCAATGAAAAGACAAGAGTGTCTAGCAAATTAACAAAGATAACTACTCTGGGGCAGGAACTGGATTCCATGCTCCTTTTGCACCTTCTACTTGGACTACTGCAGCACTGAGCATAGAGTAAGCACTTTAAATAGAAAACCATGGCAGAAGTGAAGAAAGTCTTTACCAATACAAGAAAAAGAATACGCACAGACGATGCAAGTAATTTTTAGGGAAAACATGCATAAGAACTTGACAGTTTCACTGACAATGCTTGAAACAGATTTCAACGTAAAGTTACTTTTAACTACTTGGCCAGGAAATTCCCCTATATAAGTTTTTATTAAAACGTTACCTGGATTCTTCTAAAGGATGCTGGACAGTAAGAAGTCTAGGGTGTCGAAGTCGAGTTAACTGCTGAACTCCTCGTTTTAGGGAATCAATTATTTGGTCCTTTTCAAATTTTTGATATTTGTCAATCAGCTTTTTATCAAAGACAAAAACAGCTACTTCCTAAATAAAAATGTTATAATTTTAATCAAAAAATATGGAAAAGTAACAAAATTATATTAGGATGTCTCAACAGTATAAAACAGAAATAACTAAAAATTAATACCATGGAAATTTTAGAACCAATTTAACACTTTTCTGATATCAAAAGGTTGATTTCCTTATGATTAGTAAATCTAAGTATTTTTAAAGGTATGAGACCCAGAGCCCTCATCTGAAGAACAGTAGAATACCTACCTTTGAATTCTGGTAACAGAGTTACACATAAACTGTGTGTGATGTGTTGTCTCCTACATAGTAATCATTTATTTAACCAGAATTCAAATAAAAGTTAAAAGGTTAAACAATTTTAAACGTTACTTGTAACGATAACTCTGCTTTATACTACAAAATCCTAAAATGATTTTTGAAAAAAATGTTGTATGCTTGCTTATACAAAAAACTAATTTGAAAGCATTTTTCACATATGAATAATCTGCACTCTCTTTCATATTAACCTACCCCTATCTGGTAACTTTGAATGGTTACTGTAAGCAGCTGTTCCTCCATCACCTCCCTTTGAAATTATTCACAGCTTATTTTATATTAGATTATTAAGTCTGAATTGTCTGATTTCCTTAAGGACTAAGTTTGACAGCTGACATCTCTGACATTTCATTTTGACACTTGTTTTATTTTTATTATGATGGTACATCCTTAGTCTTTCTTTTTTTTTTTGTGACAGAGCCTCAAGCTGTCCCCCTGGGTAGAGTGCCGTGGCATTACAGCTCACAGCAACCTCCAACTCCTGGGCTCAAGCGAGTCTCCTGCCTCCGCCTCCCAAGTAGCTGGGACCACAGGCGCCCGCCACAACGCCCGGCTATTTTTTGGTTGCAGCCATCATTGTTGTTTGGCGGGTCCGGGCTGGGGATTCGAACCCGCCACCTTTAGGTGTACGTGGCTGGCGCCTTAGCCGGTTGAGCTATAGGCGCCGAGCCCATCCTTAGTCTTTCAAAGGCATGTTTTGCCTTAGGACTATCTTTCAAAAATTTTTAAAGCAATTTTTGTAAAGCCATGTATAAGTCAAAAATTCATGTTACTGTATTTTCAAATATGAGAAGTCTTATCCGGTTTTAATCTTGAAAATGAGCCACATGGGTGACTTAAGACCAAGGTGAGCTGAAAGCTACAGCAGGAGCAAATCCATCTCAATCTACACATGCGTTAGCAGCAAGGTTTGACATACTATTCCAACAATATGGACCATTTGAAACAAATTAGCAAGAAGCTGGACAGGTGGGTTGCCCAAGACTTAAACAAGTGTCAGAGAGAAATTGTTTCGCACCTTGCCTTTCTTTGTTTCAACGACATAAAAGGTAAACCACTTCTACGCACTATTGTATGTGTGATTAAAAATGGATTCTTTTTGACAAGTGAAAATGTTCAGTATAATGACTGAATAAAGATGAAGGGCCAAAACACAGTCCAAACCAAGTAGTCATCAACAAAAACTCATGGTGACTGTCTGGTGGTCCAGCAGTGATATTATCCACGACAGCTTCATGAAACCTAGTCAGTCGATTACAATGGATGTCTGCTGCAACTAACTGACAACACCATAAAGAAGACTACAATTAAGCAGCTGAGGATGGTCAACAGAGACAGGCCAATCCTGGTTTAGGCACATACTCTGAATAATTGGACTGCTTTTCATTTGACATATAATAAACTAACTTTCAACTCGAAATCAGACATTTCAGTTTAATGGCCTAATACTACTAAAAGCACACAACCTCTTCACCATTATCTTCTTCCTTTCATTCTCAGCTAAACAAAAAAAGAAGTTCTTATCCAGTAAATTAGCCCTGTTGACAAGTGACATGTATATCAAAGCTGTACAATTTTGGTAATAATGGAAAAAAAAAATGAAAAAACCGGAAGCAAAATTAGCAAAGGATGCCTGCTTTCCAAAATTCTGTGAAAGATTTTAAATCACCCAGTATTCCTATAAAAGCCTCTTTTCAAGGCCTCTAATTTAACCTACTGTTATTCAACTAACAATATCCAAAATGGTATCTTTCCATTTTATTGTTTTTCTCTTCTCATTATTTTCTTCTGTTTTTCATTTTGCTACATTAGGATTGCTGTTTTTACAAATGACCCTGGCAAGCTAATCATCGCACTGCAAAATTCCAAACTAATCAACTTCTCAAATGTAACTTAAGTTAGAGATTCCTTATACTTGTAAATGAATTAGGAATATTAGAGAATTTAGTCTCTGAAAAGTGGTAACATAAAGAAACCATTTAGTACTGTAACTCAATTCAAACATAACATTCCTCAAGCATTTGTGAATAAAGCACTATTTATTATTCTAACAGAGGAGGTATTTACACAGTACTCAAAATACTGGCATTAGATCAGAGCCGAGTTTGAGTCAACTTTCCTACAACTGACCAAGCCACCCTTGGGCAAGTTCCCCCCCCACAAAAAATGGAAATAAAAAAATAGTAGGTGTATGTCATAAGATTATACAAGAGTAAATGACACAGTACTATAAAAAGAACTTATTATAATGCCTGACCTATTATAAATATTCAATAAATGCTGGCTATCATTGTTACACCACTAACACCAAAACCCATACTGATGTTATTTTTCTCTCACTGGTGAATGATGGGATGACATATGTGATCAAGAACACACATCTGGGCTCGGCGCCTATAGCTCAACCGGCTAAGGCGCCAGCCACGTACACCTAAGGTGGCGGGTTCGAGTCCCCAGCCCAGACCCGCCAAACAACAATGATGGCTGCAACCAAAA